CCACCACTTCGCCACCGCCTCCACCGGCGGCACCATCAACATCTCAAAACCACACCACACCCTCCCCAACACTACTATCACCACCCCCAAGACCCACATCGCCACACGCACAGTCAAAGCAAACACACAAATCACACATAGAACACACAACCACCGCCGCCACCAACTTCATATCCACACTTCACAGGGCATAGATAACCAAATACTAAGTCACAGATAACCACCGCGGCACCACCACTACCATCGCCCGATCCCCCGCCAACACCACACCCACGCACACAAATCCAACAACCCCGTTCAACAGAAACCACCACAGATCTACAACCATCAGCAAAAATTAGCATACAACCACCACAACCATCCGATAAATCCAACTCGAAAACTTGAAAAAAAAAAAGAGAGAGAAATACAAATCTACACCATTTACGAAGATCTAGCCAGAGCAGCCTCCGCATCGGCGAGTCCAATTTTAGGTGGCTCGTTATTAGGGTCAATATCAGAAAACGGTGCAGATCTGTATTAGGCATAGGCGACGGATCGATTGGAAAAAGAAGTGGCTCACGACTTCTGTGAAATAGCCGGCGGAAAACGTCGATGGTTGGATCGAACGACAGATGCGATGGTGGCGCAGGACTGATTGTCCTTCTACAGCGGCATCGACTCTTCACCACCACGTCGTGGGCAGATTCGACAGATAGGAGGGAGGGGGAAATGAATTTTAGGGTTGATTTGGATTATTTTAATTGGGATGATAATTATATAATTAATATTAAACTAAATATAAAAACCTGATTTTTGAAATATTGAACTTGTGATTGGATTTGTGAAATTGAAAATCTAATTCCACGTGTGTGTAATTTCCTCTTGAATTAAAGTAGATTATTATATGTAAAATCGGAAGTCCTAGCATTTCAAGTAGTTAAAATTCAATTATCGTCTTGCAATTATATTAGCTTTCCTGTAGTTGAATTTAAATCCGGATTTCCAAGAATCGATCGATAACAGGATTTTCCCTATTCCGGTGTTCAAACTTTCAAGGTTTTTTTTTTTTTTTTTATTGTTTGTTGGTCGAAAGAAAAAACTAAAAATAAAAAT